GATGTTGCCGGCGCAGCGCTCGTGGGGTGTGTTTTTGCAGCGGGCGTTCGCATCTGGGTCTCGTAGTCTGCCTGACGGCCCCGTCAGGCCAGCCCGAGTCTTACCAGCCTCGAACGTATCCCTACCCCCAAGATGGACACGCCAAAAGGCGATGACAATCTTAGGGGTTCGCCCTCAAAAAATAAGAGAACCCCTGAGATTGGCATCGTGCTGAGGAGATGCCCAGCATAGGGGTAGGCTAGGGATATGTTCCAGGCTGGTAAGATCGGGGGAGCGTAAGACCCGGGTTTGCCAGGACTCGGGTTCGCCATCGTTTTTTGACGACCGCGCCTCGGATTTTGACGAGGAGGAGTTTCGTGGGATGTCTGCAGCGGGAGGCCTCGTCAAAATGCAGGCTCGGCCTCGTCATTTTTTTGACGACCTCGTCGGGGATTTCCGAGTCCCCTGTACCCAGGTCTTGCGTCTCCCCGATAAGAGTCCGCCCGCCGTGCCCGGCCGCCCGGCAGACGCGAGACGTGCCTCGCCAAAGCTGGGACATACGCCCCGCCCTTTGCCGAGGACGGCGCGCCGTCCACGTCCCGACTCCTGGGCGCCAGCGTCCCGCGCTGCTCCCGGCCTCCCGCCCTGCGAGGCACAGCAACACTCAGGAGGGAAAAAAACACACAGACACAATTAATTTGCGATTCCCAGAAAATATGGGAAAATATGGGAAGTGGGGGGGAAGACAAAAACCCAGAAAATATGGGAAAATATGGGGAATCATTTTATTTGTGTGTATTTATTTGTGTGTCCCAGTTTCCCTTCAAACACGCCACATCGAAAAAGAAGAAGAAGAAGAAGAAGAAACGCCATAAACAGAACATGTGGCGCTCCGCGCGGATGTCTTGCATCCGCGCTGGGTTCCCCTGGCGGCGCCTCCGGCGCCGCCCCCGGCGCGCTCCGCACGCCAGGGAGGGGTTTCTCAGCCCAGATCCGAGAGATCCACGCGGACCTCCAAGAGTTCACGTGGATGCCGTTTTTGCTCAGGAGGGGAAAAAACACACAGACACAATTAAGCCTCGATTCCCCAGGAAACATGAGAAAATATGGGAAGTGGGGGCGAAGACAGGAACCCCGAAAATGTGGGAAAATGTGGGGGATCATTTTATTTGTGTGTATTTATTTGTGTGTGTCCTGGGGCCCCTTCATTTGCTTCCTGGAGATGCGCGCGGACCTCCACGAGTTGACGTGGATGCTTACCAGTTTGAGACATATCCCTATCCCTATGTTTGACATCACCTCACCTCGATGCCGATCCCAAGGATTCCCTCCGTTTCTGAGGGCCTCTCCCTGAGATACGTTCGAGGCTGGTTAGATGCCGCTTTCGCTTCCTGCGGCACTGCCGCCTGCAGCGCATTGCAGCGTGCCGCAGGGGCCGCCGCCGCGGCGCACCGTTGGCAGGAGCGCTCCCGAGACCTCTCGGGTCGCCCGCGGGGGCGCGAAGGTTACGGCGCGCTCCGCGCGTCTTGGTCTGTCAGGAGGGGAAAAAACACACAGACGCAATTCATCGTCGCAGGAGCTCACCGAGGCAAGAGCTCCCGACCTCTCAGGTCGCCCGCGGGGGCGCGGAGGTAATAGCGCGCGCTCCGCGCGCCTTGTGGTCCGGGCCAGGGCGGCTGGACTTACCAGCCTGGGGACATATCCCTATCCCTGTGCGGGGGCACCTCCCCATCACGATGCCAATCTCAGGGATTCCATGTGCTGGGCATCTCCCCATCACGATGCCAATCTTAGGGATTCCATTTTTTTTTGAGGGCGAATCCCTGAGACTAAGATTGTCATCGGCTTTTTGGGCGTGTCAATCCTAGGGATAGGGACACGGTCGAGGTTGGTAAGGGGCTGCTCCAAGCGGGGCGGCGCGACGGCGCGAAGCCTCACGCCGCGCACCCGCGGGGCGCGTAAATCTCGGGGGGGGGGGGGGGAAACACGCAGACACAATTCATCGTCGACTCCCAGGAAAATATGGGAAGCTAGGGGAAGCGGGGGGGAAGACAGAAACCCAGAAAAAATAAGGGGAATACGGGGGATACTTTCATTTGTGCGTAATTATGTGTTTGTGTGTCCCAGTTCCCCTTCATCCTAAGGGGCGACGCGCATCCGCGGGGCGCGTACATCGCGACGTTTGGACGACCTGGGTTCAGGAGGAAAAGAAACACACAGACACAATGAATCGTCGACTCCCCAGGAAAATAGGGGAGACTATGGGAAGTGGGGGGGAAGACAGAACCCCCCAGAAAATACAGGAAAATATGGGGGGTCTTTTTATTTGTGTGTATTCGTTTCTGTGTCCCAGTTCCCCTTCATCCAAGGGGGCGGCGCGAAGGTGCGACGCCTCGCGCCGCGCAGCCGCGGGGCGCGTACATCGCGACCTTTGGACGACCTGGGCGAACTGCTCCCCTGCGATCTGGGGACCCAGGCCCCCTCTGGTCGTGAAAAAATCACGACGGGAGGTTTTTCTACA